GGGTCTCTAAGACTTTTTTAAGGGATCGATGAGGTCAAAACTATTTTAGTAATAATTCTAGAAAGTTAAATGGCTTTTTAACTGTATTGAAATTGCATCAATGGTGCAAAAGAAGTGATGAGTCAAAGTGCTAGCACCTTAGCAGGAACTGAGACAGGAACATCATACTTGTACTAGTAGTGATTGTGTTCGTCACAGACCTGCATTCGTGGAAAAGAAAAACAGAAGTTACACTTTTAAATTTATTTATGGATCAGTAAAAAATATTACTTTTATTAAATCTTGCCCCTTGAGTACATGTCTTTTTAAAATTCTGTGTGATGCAATGGGAAATACACATAAAGCCAATTCTGCCACAAACTCGAGTAGGGTGCAGGTCCCAAGGAAAATCACGTGTATGATTATTTGAGTTGCGAACTGAACTAATTAATTTTCCCATGGAACACCATGTTTATATAAAGAATGAATAAGAGATAAACCACATTTATTCAGAATTTTATATGTGGCAGATTATTTTCCTGAAAATGAAGGAAGTGAGTGTATCGCCTCAAGGAAAACTGAAAGTATTTATTAACAATGATAAAATTCAGACTTTGAAGCAAAATTGAAAATTGGAAAATTTCTGTTGTCCACTGTGAGTTTGACAGCATCCCAATATTGGAAGAAATTTCCTATAAGACCAGTGGCGATATTAACAAATGTGATTTATTGTTACTATATAATGAAATGTTTCAGCCTTTAAAAAGTGACATAATGAAGTTAACTAATATTTCCCAAATGATCAGTGAATAATATTATAAAATCATGTATGAGCAGTATATTCATTCAAAGTAGAAGATAGATTAATGGATTTAAATGTATTGGAGTACAGAACAATTGTTGATGTGGTTTCAATTTCCATATTCCAACTAACCTTCAAGAAACTAGCACTTGTTAAGTTCGGGTTTAGTACCAAAGAAAAATATTCACAATTATTTATAACAGCCACTAAAACAATCTTCTCTTTTCCAACCACGTATGTATATATGTATATATTTTCTTCATATACTTCAACCAAACAACACATTGCAACTGATTGCATGCAGAAGCAGATATGAGAATCCAATTGTCTTCTAACACATTTTAAGGAATTGCATAATGTAAAACTATGCCACTCTTCTCACTAAATATTTTTGTATTTAAGAAAATATAAGGTTATTCTCCTGGAAAAATATTTATGTTTACATGTGATAGGTTATTGTTATTATTTTAAATGAAATAATAAAGAAATGTTTTTAAAAATCTGGTTTAATTTCTAGTGTGACAGATTTTGATAATGATAACCTAAATAAACAGAAGTTCTTTGAATCCTCAATAATTTTTAAGTATGTAAAAAAGTCCTGAGACTAAAAAATCTGACAACTGGTTATCTGAATATAAAGTAATAAGAGTAATTGTAAACCTCTCTAACTGGAAATTGAAAAGCAAGACAGAAATGAGCTTCCAGATATTAAGGAAGACATTTAGACCTAAGAATCACTTAAACTAGTTGTTTGGATAAATTACTGAAAGAGCTGATTGAGATGGACTCATAGACACCACCTTCAGGCCCTTAAAAGAATCAGACCCTTTAAGGTCAATTCTGTACTCTTAAATATAGTGTAATAGTTCCAATAATTCTCCTTGCTAATTTCCAGGCAACATACAACAAAATATAAAAAGCCAAAAGTCAAAGGATAAATTCCTTCATTTACATGTAATCCTGCAAAGTTGATTCTTGTATTTTTATTTTACAGAAAAAGAAATCAAGTATTAGAAAGCATGAGTACTTTAACTAAAATCACAAGGAAGTAAATATTAGAGTCTAGATTTTGAGCTGCTTTTTGATTTAAAGTCCAGGTATTTTGCCCACTCAATCCCAGATGCCTCTCTCTTAGGTTTATCTGGTGGAGGTTGATGTGAAAGTTTTTTATTTTTATTTATTTATTTTGCCATGTAAATAAAGGGTAACCATTCCATTTTACTGGATGTTTATGCAACAATTCGGTGATCAAGGATAATATTGTAGTATAATGCATTTGTATTCTTGTTAGCTAGGAATATTTAAATGTTAGATAACATAGAAAATATCTATAAACAAATACATAAAATGTTCTTCCAGTGAAACCTTGGATGTCCCTTTTTCTCCTCAGTTTCAAACCACTGCAATTGTTTTGTACACAGTATTTATGTCTGTGTTCCTCATTAATAGTTGTTAATCATGTGTTCCATTAACAGCTACTCTCAAAAGAAATCAGGACTAAGCTATTAAAGTAAGTGTAGGATGATGGCAATTATATAAATAACTAAAGCCAATAGATTTTTTAATTCAAGGAAGAGAAGTGACTTTTAGCACTTTTCTGGGATTCATCAATGCTATGACTAAATGCATTGCTTTGAAACAAATATTTTTATAAAAAATGTATGTGATATGGGCTTGATACCAGTGTATTTATTATCTAGGCTGATAGATAATAAATTATTATTGCTTCAAGTAGAAAATCTGGGCTAGACAAGAAACATCAACCAAAAGGCAGATTATGTAAATAATATATGAAGGCTCAAGAAAATTGAAGATTGCATGTTTAGAATCCCTGTTGTATAAAATAATTAGTTTTGTAATAAATTGTTGGCTCATTTACTTGCAGTCCATCTCCTTCTATGAGATTTCTCAATTAACTTCAGACCACTCTAGTGGGAAATGTGCAATTAAGGAGGAAAGGGAGAATAGATAGACCATACAGCAGTTAAGAAATAGCAGAAGCTGGAATTTGAGGTCCTTTTATACTATATATTGAGTGGTATTAATTCCTTATTTGTGTAACAACTTTTCTCTTGGTTTGTCCAGGTTGTCTTAATAAATTTGAAATAAAAGCTAAATTTGTTCTAAATTTTCCAAAATTATACATTAATTAGATGGGAGATACTAAGACATAGTATCTCCCATACAATATAAGGGAGGACATGTAGTGATTTCCAGAGAATCCTGCATTCAAGATAGAGGAATAGTAGTTATCTTCAGTGAAACATGAGAAAGACCAATAGAAAAAGAAAACATCAATCTCACTTGAGAATATGTAGTTGAAGCATAAAGTTCAAATTCCTACTCTAGAGAGTGATTACATTTTTTATAAAATAGAATGGAAAACAAACATTTCTAGAAAAGGACAATAGGAATTGGGTTGATTTTTAACTGTAATTCTAGAAGAGTCGTCTTGTTGGTCGTTCTTTTTTTTCTTTTTTTTCCTCTTTTGTTGTTAGCATATTTTGTTTCGTTAAGGAGGACATTTTTTCTTTATTGTTTTTTTCATGATGTTTTTTTTCTTTTCTGTTTTTTAATTGTCTCGTTTATTTTTTTTGATGTTAGAAAACATATGCTAATCATTTTTTCAATTAAATTCAAATATTCTATACATGCATACACATATATATTTAATATAAGAAGAGAGGCAGAAAGAGAAAGAACTCTACTATGTACTAAGTGCTATGTAAGTGAGCAGGCCTTCCCTCAGGAATCTTATTGTAGAGTGTAGAAAGCTGGAGTAAATAAAGTATATAAAGTAGGAAACATACATGCAAAAGATGACACAACCACCATGCCAAAAGATTTTAGTGGTTTGGAATCATAAACTGGATCTAACAAGATGTAATTTAAAAGTGAAAAAAAAAAAAAAAAACTACAGTGTTTTAATCTGATCCCTCCAAAGATATTATAAATTTATAGGAAATGAAAAACACGATTCCCCAGGTATAAGACAAAATTTCCTATGATCAATAACTATTGTAGCCATCTTTTCAAACTCTACTTCCTATAACAGCTCCTGAGCCAAAGTAGATCTTTAGTATGTGGTGAATTGACTTGAATCATGTTTAGGAAATTTTTTGTCAATAATAAACCTGAGAGAGTTGAAACACCAATGTAACCAAAAAAATAAAAACGAAAAAGTTAATGGGATCTTCATTGTACTGATAGAACAAGGAAGTTTATCTTCTTGCCCAGTGTTTTTGGTCAGGGCAAACTTAGGCCAATATTTTTAGCTCTGGAGCTGACTGTAAGGCACAGGGATATACTATCACGTTAATAAGATGAAAGGCAAGACTACTGAAAGAACTCAAAACTATTTCTTATAAGCAAGAGCTGAAGGATGCTAATTTTTAACTTGTAAACATGACTACTCAGTTAATTTCAAATATATATAATAGTAATTAGTTATAATTTATTAAGCAACTACTATCTCATTGTATATCTCATTTAATCCTGATAATAGACATATGAGATCAGTCAGTATTACTCACCCTTTTTTCTAACTAATGAGAAAACTGTCACTCAGTAAGGTAAGGTAACATATCCAAACTCAAACAGCTAAAAAGTTACAAACCTGAATCACAAAATACTTTAACTTCAAGGCCAGGACTTATTGCACTATTTGTCTCTCACATGAATTAAGCACAGCTGCTTCTGCGGTTCCTCAAGGGACTGAATGAATGGCAGACAGATTTCAGTTCCATGTAAGCGAACTGATTCATTAGTTCGTAGGAGAGTATGTTTTAAGGTATTTTTATTAGTCTCTAGGAAATCTCTGTTACATTTTATTGCTGAAATTATACCCTTTAATGTAAAAGGATAAAAATAATACTGAACATTGGAAAAATAACCTATGATTAATACAATTTACCTATGAGTTATCTGTTCTCAAGACAAATGCCTAAAAATAATATTGGAATTAAATGTTCCTTCTAAGCTTCCCCCTGTTTGCTCCCCAAAAGTGTAGTTAACATTCTACAATCCAACTGGGGATATGTATTTTCAATGTTTATGGTTAAAGGATATATACATACAGGGAAAGAAATGAGAATTACTTCAGAATTAGTGTTAACTTCACAGAAAGATACCTTATTCCTGTCATATTTACAAATTTACTTCTAAAACAGAAGCACTTGTGGACTTAGATGTGAGGTATAAAATTTAAAAATGTATCAGCGTCCCTCAAGGACCTTGTTGTGGGCCACTCCAATTCCACACATCTACTTGGCTCCTCCTGGAGTTTTTCCACTTGAAAACAAACTGAAATAATGCAAATTTTGTTTGGTTTTAACAGTCTTCTCCTCAGAAACATGTATCTATTTAGGAAGTCTGGAGATAAAAAGTATAAAAATTTCAAACATGTGAGATTTAAGATGCGGCAGGATCAACATTATCTTCAGTTGACTTTACTGAATGCCACAACCTCCTGATTTCTGTAACTGGTTTTGTGCCTCTTCCCCACGAGGACAAAATCAGATGCAAACAGAGCTTCCACTCTACAAGACATTGTGGAAAATGGGGAACAGGTTTTCTCCACAAAAGTTTATTTATTTTTTTCTCACTTCTTTTTCAGAAAAAAACGGATCGCTCTTGTTTCAGACAGGTGTGTAGGTTTGGAAATTTGACAAACATGAGTATCTTTTCTCAGAAGTGAGCGACTGAGGTAGGAAGAACTACAGAAGAGGATTGTTTGTGTCCTACCCCCCAAATAATTGCAGTAGGTAGTAGGGGTTAGGGGTGTAGGGGTTGCATTAAGCCAATCCCTTTCCTGGCAGATTGTAAAGAGTGAAGGGCGCTGGAAGAATGGAATGATGCCAGCCCCCTTTCTTGCTTTTTACTGCTGCCAAAAACTCTCTCTCTCTCCCCCACCCCTTCTTTCCAACTTCCTTCCTCAGATGTGCTTGCACGGAAGAGTGCCCAGTGAGGAGACCGACTCCGTGGATCGCTTTGCGCAAAATCCGCCCCTTCTCTCTCTTTCCTCCCTCCCAGCCTTGGATCCCGCTTGGCCCTCCCTCCCCTCACGCCGCGGTGCGGGGTTGGGATGCGCCTCTGTGTACTACTGAGGTGGGAGGGGGCTGCAAGCAGAGGATAATGTCAGGCGCTCAGCTCGGTCCCTCTGCCTGACGCTTCTCTCTGGCTCTGCCGGGGCTGGTCTCCGTAAGAAATAGCAGGAGCTGTGGCAGTGGCGAGAGGAAGCGGCTGAGGCGCGTGGAACCCGAAAAGCCCGGGTGCTCCCTGTTACCTCCCACCGCGGTCACCAGCCGGCCGTCAGCACCATGGACAGCGGCGCCGTCCCCGTGAACGCCAGTAACTGTACTGACCCCTTCGCGCCCTCGAGTTGCTCCCCAGCACCTGGCCCCGGTTCCTGGGCCAACATGTCCCGCTGGGATAGTAACCTGTCCGACCCGTGCGGTCCGAACCGCACCGAGCTGGGCGGGAGCGACAGCGTGTGTCCTCCGACCGGCAGTCCTTCCATGATCACGGCCATCACCATCATGTCCCTCTACTCCATCGTGTGCGTGGTGGGGCTCTTTGGAAACTTCCTGGTCATGTATGTGATCATCAGGTAAGAAAAGCGCCAGGGCTCCAAGCGGAGAGTTCCGTGGCTAAAGGGGATTCAAAGGGACACCTACGCCCCAAGGCTGTGTTTGGCGGGAGGATGAGAGAGGGGAGGTAAACCGGGGAGACTGTGGCAGCAACCCCGGACAGAGTGGCTGCTGTTCGCATGCGTGTGACAATCTACTTTTCTATTTTTTCCTCCATTGAAAAAGAATCCAAATTTTCTGAAACAGAGACGTTGCTTTGGTAAAGGCCATAAAGGTTTGGGGGAAAAAAAAAAAGGGACAGATAAAAGATAAGCTATATCTCAGAGCTCTTCCTTATACTGAGCCAAGAGGGCTACTGGCAAAGTCCCACATCTGTCCCTTTGCAGAAGCTATGGAAACATTAGTTGTGAATAATGGGAGAGGAAAATTAGTTTTCCCTAATTGGGGGGTTGAGTCTTGTCAGCTGTTTTAAGACATGAGCCTTGGCAACTTTCCTACTCTTACAGGTCTAGGGGTACTTCTCTGTACCACAGCCCCATCCCTTTTCTTTCCTTGTTATAGTAGCCTTTACTGCACTCTTTCATCCTGAAGCCACAGTAGGCAGAGGAAGTTTTCCTGGTATCTCTCCATAGAAAAGTCACTTTGTTGTAACAAACGTGATAGTTGTGTTGCCTAAACCAATTTGCAGTTAGGTAGCTGCAGGCCTTCTAAGTCACAAAACTGCATCTGGAAGAGGTAGAAAGATTCAGGTGATGCAGGACATAACTATTTTTCAATGCCTCCAAAAGTCAGAACCAACTAGGAGTGACCAAAAACATCATAATCCTGCATTAGAAACTATTACATAGGAAGTTGTAATGGGTGCTCTAAACAAAAAGAAAGTGTCTTTATCAAGTGAAAATATTTCAAAAGAGTGTGTAGCCCACTATTTACCCAGTCCAGGTTTATTTGGCAGTGGGTGTGCAAGCTTTCAATATTAATTGAGATTGATATTGATTGGGTTGGTGTTGATGTGTATGTTCAAATACTATATGTGAATGTGGAATACTATAGATTCAATTTTGTTAAAGAAGATAAATACTTGAACATTTTTAAATGGCTCCATATTTGAGTTTTTCTTCCCACCAGGGGTTATATGTATGTAGAGAACATGGCATTTTCATATTTCGTTACAATATTTGTTTCACCTATTGAGCAAGTATTGCAGGTTCCAGTGGAGCTCTTGAAACATTACACAATTACTCTTTCCATTATGGTTTTATTACCAAGGTGCTGCAAATTGCTTGGAATTGATTCTTTCTATTTATATGTCTGATTTCTTTAATTAATGATTGTTAAAGAGTAAAGCTAATTTCCCTTATCTTTTGGTGAGGAATAGTGTCTCTGAGAAAAGAGCACCATCTATTGAGAAAAAGGCTAACAACAGAAGGAAAAATGCAGGAAGCAAATCAATGGAAGAATTTATTTTTTTAAAACATTTACTTTATGCAATTCAATAAAAAGATTCACATTAAAGATAAAAACCAAGTCTCATTCTGCAGTTATGACAATATAAAAAGCATAATTAAGGGCCTGCCTTTGAAAGGGAAAATATTTTCTCATTTTTTCCAAAAAAAAATCATAAGCTGGTAGAGCTAGAAGGGACTCTAGAGATTTTCTATGCCAGGTGAGTAAACCGAGGCACAGCAAATATAAATGATATCTCTAAGAACAGATAGTTCATTAGTTCAGTATCACTGAGTGTCTCTTAGCTAACAGAATTTTCTGTTTATTAGGGCAGCAAATCATGATTTGAGTTAATTCCATTATTGGGCTGTCAAAGGGGGGTCACTTAGTAGTGATAATGTGGGAATACCAAATTACCCCCAAATTTATGTATTGAATCCTAGAGGGGAAAAAGCACGAAACAGAAATTACCAAAGCATCTAGAAATCCTGCCACCTGAAACATAATCTTTTGTTCCCTTTATTGCTTCTCCTTGGTATTTTCCTTCCTCATATTTCTCCCCTTTAATTTATGCTTTTCTATAAGGTGAGAACCGCTATAGAAGCAACTGGCTGTGAAATAAGCAGATTGGTATTATTCCAGTGTTTAAGGGGTATCTGGTTGGGTGAGTTCATTTTAAAAGCATTACCTTTGACCTGTTCTTGACCTGGAGAAAGATGGTAACATTGTATCTCACTGAGAACATGATATTATGCTTTATTCTCTGTACTGAAAGTTCTGACAAAAGGCAGTACTATTTGAAAGGTCACCCCAAACACCCACCTGTAGCTGGCTGAGTGTTTAATTCCAAGGGCAGATAACCCTCTTGGAATTTAGTTGTGAAACAGAAACATAGACAGTTCAGTAACAGATGAAATGACAGGGAAAGCATCTGAGGATTGAAGAAAGCATGTCTATCAGCTGAGAATATATAATTGACTGTTTCCAGGCTGTGGTGTTTTAACTACAAAATGATCAGTTCAAAGATATTATTGGCCCTGATACGAGGGTGGATATAATGCTACGTCTGTTAAGGTACCAAGGAGAAACACTCACTTCCTTCCAATATTTAAAATTCAACAAAGACTACTGAATATCATGCAGTTACAGTTCTCTGAGCAGATTAAGGTAACACTTATTAGAATGTTTTAGTACACTGAGTGAATCATGAGGCTCAGATGACTATGGCAACAACAACAACAACAAAAATAACTACAGATACAAATGCCGTGATTAATTCTTTTCTGTTCTGTGTCTTCTAACACCATCATCATCATCCCTTCACCAACATTATTAAATAGTATAACTTAAGTGGGATTCTTATACAGTGCTGCTCTAAGGAATATAAGGGATGAAAAGTGATGCTGTTATATCATCTAAAGATTTAAAATCCTTATGTTAAATGATAGAAATGTTATCAGTAACCATGACCTGAAAGCTTTTTCAGTTTTAAAGAAAAAAATGCAGAATAATATTATAAAAATTACCACGAAGATTTTTGAAAATATGATGATAAAAATACTTTTAAAGTAACAATTGTTTGAAATGGTATGATAGTACATTATTGTCAAGAATCTTTTTTTAAAAAATCAAAATAATACACAAAGTCACAGCCACCAGAGATGTTTCACTGATTGAAAATATTTGAACAAAGTATAGAATTAACCATACTGCCAAATCTAATATAGTCCCAGATGTGTTTATTTTGTGACTTTTTTTCCAAAATTATTTGTCCATGTAGCTATGAACATGGTATGTACAGATACCGCTGAATTAATTTGAATGCATATGTCACTAAATATGATCACTAGTATTTTTCATAAAATAAAAAATAATCTATTTTAAAAACTTAAATATTAATAAAGTTCCCTTTCTTTTTTCTTAATCCATAAAATATCCTAAGTAGAGGATGGATTTAAAGAGGAAAAAAACCTCCAAAATAAAATTTTGTCCTTAACATATTGGTTTACATCAAAAAATATCAACTTCCCTGTATCCCCTTCACTTAGTAATGGAGAGCTTCCGGCATCTATTACAATTTGAACTCTAACTGCTATTTCCCATATAGGTGCTAATTCTGTAGGGAACACTTCTTCCTCTATGTCTCCTGAACACACTAAATTGCTTTTACTTTCCTTGGTCATAAGCTGTGTCTTTATCATTTGCATGGAGTTAATAATTATTGAGTTTCCTATATTCTTCTCTTTTTCTTCCTGGGAAGAATAAACTGTCTTATATTTATATGTTGGAGATATTATAAAACTTATAATATAAAACTTATAATATCTCCAATATATTTATAATATATAAATTTATATGTTGGAGATATTATAAAATATTATATTATATTATAAAATATGTCCAACATAAACATGTATAATTATATAACAATTCTTTTTAAATATATATAATTTTAATAATTTATACATATACTTCCATATATATGGAGGACAGACAGATGAATAAATACTTACACAGATATCTAAAACAGCTGAAGTCTCCTCTCCGCTCCCATTAGCCTCTCTCCCCCTGAGACTGCCACTATAGTGAATTTGGTGGTGATTATTCATATGCATATTTTCAAACTTTTTGCTATATATGTGTGTTTCCACAAAAAATATTTTTTACATGTTCTTATAACTCTTTATCATTGATATCATATTACACATTTAAGTTCCTACACATGATTTCACTATTTACCCCAAGTTGCTCTAGTTCCAGCAGGTCAGTGATAGAAACTAGATTCCAAACAAAACAAACATGAAAACAAACTAACAGACATTCTGGCCATTAACTCTCCTGAGTACTTTTAACTGATCTCAGCAAGAAAAATATGTACTAAATATTATTTGTAAAGATTTCTTTGCAAGTGTTTTCCCAAGCTAATATTTTCATTAATACTGAAATATAATATTCAGAAAAATTATTTTTGCTATTGCTGCAACAAATAAATCTGTTAATAAATTTAAATGAAGCATAATCTCGCTACTTCTAAGAAGGAAATAAAAATAATTGGTCTCTGACTATGTCAAAATGTATTCAAATGATAAGTACTGACAACATTTAAGATTTTTCAACATCCTTTAGGACCACTTCCTTATGCATAAAGGTTGAAAATATTTCTTCTAGGATTCCATTTAACATAGCAGATGAAATAGAATTTTTAAAGTCAGCAAAAAAAGAAAAAGAATCTCATTTTGATAAATAACATAAAACAACATGGCACTTTAAAATATACTAGTGATAAATACCAAAACTAAATGTTGTGTGAAATTTTAAAGTATGAGAATTCAAGTCTTCAATCCTCACAACGTTTAATGTCAATTTAACTGAAATAAGAATTTGTGACAACAATCTTCAAACTCGTTTTTAGATGTAGACACTTACTTCAAGAATTCAGAAGCCAAGATATAAAACAGATCAAAGAAGAGCTGCCCAGGCTTAATCACGTGTTGTGGCCCAGCGGCACTGCTCAGCTTGCACACCTAGCCCACTTTTCGTCGCTGTGGCACTTGCAAGGAATGTCTGTGACTCC